TATAGATACTGATTATTGTAAAAAGATCCAGTTGCAATCGTGTATGCCAATTAAATTGGATTTGGATTATAGTTTGAACAAGATGCCTGCTCAGGCGTTAACACTGGCCTGAAAATGGCAACTTTCATGGTAGATAGGGATACAGGAGGTCTGGACCATATAAAAACAACCATAAATACATTCATGATCAGCAACTATCAACCATAATATACCAAGACGGCGGCTCAGGTGTACCCTCCGGCTATGGGCAACTCAACCTGACAAGCCAGGCCCACTGTAACCGATCATCAACTGACAACTATCAACCGTAAATAATGATGGGCCAATAATATATAATTATATAGTCTTTGATTTTTAATGCCATTATATGGCTCGTTTCAGGTGCTAAAGAGTTCATAGACATAGACGATTCTTCTAAAAAATATGCCAATTTGCTTCCATAAACTGATCCCAACCCAAAGCCCTTCTCTAACCCCAACCAGTAAAAATCTAATAAACAATTTGAGAATTAAGAAAGTTGGGGGAAAAGTTGGATCTTGTTCCAAAACAAATCGAACAGTACCACGTTTCACTGTGCCGCACGCAATACCACCTCGCTGAATACAATCGAAAACATACATTTTATAGTATAAATATATGATGAATTGGAAAGTAATCCGGTGCAAATTCATGTAATAAGGTGCAAATCTATAATTATGCAAATGATGCAAGAGCACAATGCATGTTTATGAGCCTACAACGTATATTTATTTTTGTTAATTAAAAAGTCAAGCTGTCAAACCTTTAACTTGTCCTTGTTTATATTCCACTATATTGTATAAATTCGCTGGGTCCAAATTTTGGGGTTTTCGAGCCGTTACACGAATAAAAACACACTAATTCAAAACGCAAGAAAGGCCAGAGTGCGACACAGCGTAAAATCCATAGGGAACCAGCACAATTCTTTGAAAATTCAACGAAACTGTGTGAAATACATATTAGATCGCTCAGTGAAAAGCCGCCATTTTGAAACTGACCTGAATATGTCACTGGAGCACGTTGCACCCTGAGATGACCTAACGAAACTAGATTTCTCGACTACGAAACAAAAACAGAAAAAGAGGGATTTAAGACACTTGGCCTAGAGGCCAGTGTAATAAGGGTTTTGATTAGTGTTTCAACCAGGGCTTGGCTGAAATTTAATAGAAGAGTCATATATGGAATAGTCTCCAAATGACCCCCACCCCAATTCTATCCTGACCCCTATCCTACACCCACCACACCTCTACTGTGATGTCATTTGAGGACCTTTATATCAACTTCACCTGGAATTGTTTAAGGAGTGCTAATAAAGGGTGAAGTTTATTTTCATACAAGAGTTTTCAAATGACGTCACAAAAACGCGAGGTTGGGGTACAGTTGGATTGGGGAAGAGTCGTACTGGGTGGGGTAGGCCAGGGCATGTGGAGACTCTTATATGAAACGTCGGCCAGAAAAATGGTAGAAACTCTTCACGATGTATTTAAAATTGGGAATGTTAATTAATGCGTAAATTACCCCTATAAGGTATAGTATTATGTGAAGATATAGTTGGGAATCGAAATTGTCAAATATATACTAATGGAATTGCTGTGCATTACACGGAAGAGAAGCTATAGAAACAAGACAATTCGTCATGTTTCTGGTTTTCTGCTAATAAATGGCAGTAATTGTTGCACGATTAAACTGTTTATGACGGGAAGTGCCAAATTAGCAATGACTCTATTTTTACCTCGCTTACCTTGCTGCATCGAGTCAAATCTTTTCGAATTAAAACAACTTGTGATGTTCATGAACACGGAAAAATCGCTTAACGGCTTGTGTGAAAAAAAACCGGAACGACAGCGCATTTTACAAATGACTGGAAGCTCTGACGTCTCAACTCCGCGAAAATTGAAGGTAACAAATTTCAGAGGCTCTGGAATCTTCAAATCGCGGTTGGTAACAAGTTTTATTGTGGATATTGGTACTTCAAACTTCCCTTTTTTCAACCCTATTGGTCACTGAATCCAGTTAGGAGCCACGTTTGAGTAATTTAAAGTCGATTGGATATGTTTACAAAGCCGTATTTGGACTTGGTGAGTGTTATATCGCTAAAGTTCGGCATAATAGTTCTGTAAAAGCATCATAAAACCAGGTAAAGTTTCAAAGTAGAATAACTTTCACGTTCGCGTGGGCGAAAAAATCATAAAATTTGTTTGAACACTTTTAAAATTTTATGTATTTGCATTCGGCTAATTTTTATGCCTACTTAGACAGAGGATTTTCTTCGCAACGGCGCGGAACCGAAAAATCGCTGAAATTTTAAAAATAAATAAAATTTCAAAATTCCAAACAGTGTTTGTTTATTCTTGAAAGTAACGAAGAATTTCATTTTTTGAGCCTAGAGCCATTGGTCGGTTCTTTGAGCGATAGCCTCTTAAATTCATTTCCAATCGTGCAGAATAGACATACAGAGTTTAGATGAATAAATATCAGCATTGACAATAATTTCCGGGTTTTCCCCGAGTAGCTAATTTTAATACGAAAGTGTACATGTTTACCTCGCTGCATCGATCGAAATCTTTTCGAATTAAATCCACTTTTGATGTTCATGCATATGAGGCAAGGTTTAGGATTCAGATATTGCCGTAGTGTTTCTGTAGCACACTACAAAACGCTACAAAGTGAATTCTATATAAAAATAATGCTACAATTAAGTCAGCAGATATTGCCGCAGTGTTTCTCCAGATATTGCCGTAGTGTTTCTGTAGCACACTACAAAACGCTACAAAGTGAATTCTATATAAAAATAATGCTACAATTAAGTCAGCAGATATTGCCGCAGTGTTTCTCCAGATATTGCCGTAGTGTTTCTGTAGCACACTACAAAACGCTACAAAGTGAATTCTATATAAAAATAATGCTACAATTAAGTCAGCAGATATTGCCGCAGTGTTTCTCCAGATATTGCCGTAGTGTTTCTGTAGCACACTACAAAACGCTACAAAGTGAATTCTATATAAAAATAATGCTACAATTAAGTCAGCAGATATTGCCGCAGTGTTTCTCCAGATATTGCCGTAGTGTTTCTGTAGCACACTACAAAACGCTACAAAGTGAATTCTATATAAAAATAATGCTACAATTAAGTCAGCAGATATTGCCGCAGTGTTTCTCCAGATATTGCCGTAGTGTTTCTGTAGCACACTACAAAACGCTACAAAGTGAATTCTATATAAAAATAATGCTACAA